ATATTTATATATCGGATGAACGGATAATCAAAAACGGTGGACGACATACGAAGTACAACGCGACCGAATGTACCGTACCTGCTGTACACTACTAGCGTACAGTACAGTGTACACTGTACATCGTACTAGCCCTTGCAAGCAAACGCAAATATGGCACCGCATACAACCATAGACATAGTATATATAGACCGAGCGTTTGCCTCATAGACATAGGCCGGTATTCATAGTCAGTTCTTATTTCAAGACCGTCTTAAGTAATGTCTTAAGATGCTAATACGGCTCTGTGATTGGTTTAGGACATCTTAAGATTGTGCTTAAGACGGTCTTAAATATAAGAACTGACTATGAATACCGACCATAGGATATCTAATTGGTCATTTTGTGACCAAAATGTACTGTCATTGTGACGTCAGTTTGCTACTTGGGTGGACTATTACATGACTGTAACAATCAAGGGGCACGAAACAGAGTATGTCCTTTTCTACGTGCATCTTTAGTGCCGGTCTACAATAAGTGATTTAAGCCTTAAGCCTTAAGAAATTGACTAATCACAGTTGAGTATTCTTCTCATACTAGACTGTGATTGGTCAATTTCTTAAGGCTTAGAGCTTAAATCACCTATTGTAGACCGGCACTTACCCCCACTCCTTAAATAAAGGCAAACGCTCGGTCTAGATATACTATGTCTATGGTTTGCCTTTAGCATAGACATAGTATGGGTGCGTTCGGGGAGAGTACTTTTGGCGCTATGAGTGCGCTCTGGCCGTTCGTGGACTTTAGCGACTTTCTCAAAGTTAGCCCCCCACTTTGACTTTTGGAAATTTTTTTTTACCCATCGTTCAATGGTCGATTGCTAATGTTTGGTGTCGTATCCAAAATTTTTGGAAGTTTCCCGTTTATTTAAAAAAAAATCGTAAACTAATTTTTAACCTTTTCTTAGACCCTCCCACCTCCATTTCGACTGCTGGGAATTTTTTTTCACCAATCGTTTGGTGATTGATTGGTAACGTTTGCTACCGCATTCAAAATGTTTTTTTGTATAGCTAATAATTTTACATATACAGCCAGATTTTGCAATTCGGCTCTTAAGTGCCGGTCTACAATAGTGATTTAAGCTGTAGACCGACACTAAAAATTTATAATAACGTCCGTTCTACAATAAGCCGTATGTCATTAGTCGTAAGCAAATTGATCAATCACAATCAAATATTCTCGGAATAATCGACTGTCATTGGTCAATTTGCTAACGACTAAAGCCCGTATCAGACTATGCATTGAGATTGATATTTGAACAATCAGGACAAGGAAATTTTAGTTCCTTTTAGCCTGATTGGTCAAATTTCAATGTCTAACGACATACTACTTATTGTAGAACGAGCCTTATGACGCATCGCCAATGCTCATATGTCGTAAAGCTCGTATCAGACTACGCATTAAAAATTGAAGATTAAAGATTAAAGATTGGAATTTGACTAATCAGAACAAAAGGGACTAAGATTCCTTCATTCTAATTGGTCAAATTTCAATCTTGAATCTTGAATCTCAATCTTCAATGCGTAGTGTGATACGGGCTTTAAGACGGTCTTGAAATAAGAACTGACTATGAATACCGGCCTTTACTGCTTAAGTTTTTTTATGTGCCCGGGCTCATAGCACAGTATATACAGTAGCGCAACTCTCTGTCGGCACCTTTGATGTTAGCATAGACATAGTATATCTAGACCGAGCGTTTGCCTTTATTTAAGGAGTGGGGGCCGATGCCCACGTAGAAAAGGACATACTCTGTTTCGTGCCCCTTGCGTTCTCTCTCGCACAATAATTTGTAGCAAGCACTTGGCAATATCTGTTAGAACAGATGTGGCTGACTGGGTATTTATGTAGAAGATATTTTTACACAATAATATCGATATAATCGAAAAGAAATCAAGATAGCATTTGTCGGTCTATAAATTTGCAATTACTAAAAAATAATGTAAGCCAAGAATTAACAATCGTTCTCTCCTTGTCCCATACAGCACTGAAGCTTGCAACAACATTGCTGCAACATTGCAATATTGCATATTGCAGTGTAATGTTGCAGAAATATTGCAAAGACATTATTTTACAATATAACCGTTTTTTGCCACTAGAGGCCAAAAAGCATTTTCAGGCCGTATCTCGGCTATAAAGCGATACGCTAGAGGAACAAGGATAACGTGATCCTTGATCCTTTTCTATCTTTCCTCTCCACGGTGCGTCCACGCGAGCAATTCAATCGTGTGTGTACGTATATGGACATATAACTCTATTTATTTGTCAGATTGGTAATCCTGAAGTCGGAGTTTCGCATTGTCACTGCGCGAGGTCTCCAATATCAATTCGGAGTTTGGCTGTCACTCCTGCCGACCCTTAAGACGACACAAGACCACACCTAAGCCCGTATCAGACTACGCATTGAAGATTGAAGATTAAAGATTGGAATTTGACAAATCAGAACAAAAGAAACTAAAATTTCTGTGTCCTGATCGATCAAATTTCAATCTTGAATTTTCAATCTCAATCTTTAATGCGTAGTCTGATACGGTCTTTAAAGTTCGTAAGATTAAAGATTGGAATTTGACTAATCAGAACAAAAAGGACTAAAATTTCTTTATTCTGATTGGTCAAATTTCAATCTTGAATCTTGAATCTCAATCTTCAATGCATAGTCTGATACGGGCTTTAAGAAATTGACTAATCACAGTCGAGTATTCTCCTC